AAAATAATGAATGCATTGATAAAACGACAAATAAATCATAATAATATTGGAAAGAGAAGGGATTACCTTTGTTCTTCCTCTTAGCTCATGAAAATTCCATCGGAATTTGGGTAAAAATTCTCAAGATTATCTCCCTGAAATTAAAAAAGAAAAAAGAGAAAAAAAAATGAATTCATATTGCAGAAAATTGGAAATTCCCACCCCCCTTAAACACGCAAACAACCATATGATACTGGAAAAATAAATTAAATACATTTTAGCCAGAAGAACATAATATTGACGTCAGTTTCATTCTCAATTGTTGAACTATCATTTCCTCTATATTCTTGGAATCATCACTAAAAAGCCCACTCTCCTTAACAATGTCCTATATTCCAAGGAAAACCCATCATATACAATACAATAATTTCTTACAACTATGCTAACCAACACAACAATGCCAAAATAAGGGAAAAAGAATATTGACCTCGAAAATAGTCTTTGGATTTTGATGCATCAATACTTAAAATGACCACTTACAGCTAATTGTAAAATAATGCTTGTGTAGTTCATCACAAAAAAACTGCCAATTAGCATAGCATCTGTACGCTGCCCGACGAAAAGTCTCCGGTGCAAGGGAAATAACTGATTTCCTTTTTATTAATTCTTATTTATTTAAAGTCAGTAACAATGCATTTAGAATCCGAAGTCAAGTTTAAATTATGGATGCTACGTAGTACACAAGTCAGCTGCAACATAATCTCGTTGAGCCGACCTATTACTGCATTATTTATATTAACTAAATAAAGGTACATACTTGAGCTTTAAAATTATCGTAAAATTATCATGTTGTTATATTTAAAACAACTGTCAATGGATTAACTTTTAATTCGTTGTAAAAAAATTTAAGCTCCGTTTGGTAGTAATTTTTCATTCAAAAAAATTAATATTTTGACTTTTATTTCACTATTCTAGCCGTCATTTTTTACTTTCTCACTCACGTATGAGATCCATTTTTTTCTCTAACTGTTAAAAAATCAATTTTTATAATCACTACCAATCAAGCCCTAAGTTCAGGTTCAAGTTCGAAATTGGTTCTAAGTTACCTCGTACATGGTTTACCACTACAAAGACGCAAATAATGGGGTACAACTATTCAAACCTAAGGTCACTCGTCGAGTCGTTGGTTTGAAAATGTTCATTCTCCATGCTGTGAATTTTCATAAAGCCGCTTGAAAATTTGCAAAAAAATTGTCTGGCTTAAATCAAACTGTTTACCGCATTTGAGTAAAATTTGACCATTAAAGTGGGCCATTGATGGTTTAATTATATGCTGATCGGACCAAGAAGGTCTGGTTCACTAGATGTTTGATCGGACCAATCAATCTAGTTTGGTTCGATTAGGATTATGTTGTTACCAAGACATTAAATATTATTAGTCTGGCACTTTTTTCAGTAGAATTAAATTTATAATTCATTTTTCTCTTAATTCTTTTTAATAACACATTCTTCAATAAAATAATATTATAGATAAATAAATAAAAAATCATTCTTTTTCAACCACACATTCTTTAAAAAAATATTATTCCAAAAATTATAATATCAAATAATATGGGCAAACGGGACTATATATGAATTTTTGGTACCATGATTACTATTTATGGATAAGAACTACTCGTAACTGCATTTTTAATTATAGTCCATAACTCACTTGTTGTACATTGCTGTGTTTGAATTCAAATGGCAAGTAATAAGTAACTATTAAAATAAATAATTCTATTAGTATAAGTAAATAAGCAACTTTAAAAATAATTTCTTTTTGTGTGTCTATAAAATTAGTAAGCTACAAAAATATTTAACTCTTGTTTGATCTTCATTATTTTCAAAATACATTTCGCTTTTTTTTTTAACCACACATTCTTCAATAAAATAATATTACAAGTAAATCTAAAACTTTTCTTTAATTTTTAACCACATATTCTCTATAAATCTACTATTCGAAAATGCATTTTTAGAATTTTAACAGGGCTAAACAGGCTTTCAATTTGAAAACAACCCTTCAATAAGTAACTTTTTTGTACTTTTAAATTAGAATCAATTAACATATTCAAACAAAATAATAATAATAATAATAATATATTTAACTTACTTTTTAAGCTTAGCCAAACATGGTGTTATTAGACTAAAATTAGGACAATGGTAGAAAATGACTATTCAGACTATTATAGGACTGGCAATAAAATTTAGCACGCGATAGCCCTTTAGCCCTTAGGCCTTAGGCCTTTCTGTTTGTAGGGCTGCCCTTTTTCCAACACTCATTGTGTGTGGTCCTAAAACTATAAACACCTCGCAATCCTCATTAAGCTCCTTCATCTATCCATTGCATTTATGTTTGGTACCCTCTCCAACAATTGTGTGCGAGCTACGTCCACTTATAAAAGATATTGTCGACACCCTACTACTACTAGTTAAATAATTTTATTTTTCGTCCCCCCTCCAACGATTGTTGAAACATATAAATTAAAAGCAATCACTTACATAATTCATCAGTAAAATAAATACGATATTAATGAAGAACTTTTCGTATTGCAAATATTCCAGTTTTTGTTTTTGAATTTTACGTGTAATCTCGTTTTCATTTTTTGATATGTTTTAGGCCATGAATTCATCTTTTACTGCTTCTAATATGCACGCACGTATATCGAAAAAGATAGAGCAACCATGAGGAATAAAGAAAAAAATCTTGTACCCTTCCCCCCACTCCCACCCCAACCCCCCCCCCCAAAAAAAAAAAAAAAAAAAAAAAAAAAAACTGGAGACATTTATTGGAGCTCTAATTAATACAACTTATAAAATCTAATTTTGGAGTTGAAAACTTGATGGACAGACAAACAAGATTCCTTAATTAGCAGAAAGAGATTTGCAAAACAGAACCAGTACGCACTTGAAATGTAGAAAAAATTATGTCTAAAAAAAAAAAACCAATAATTTTTTTCTGTACTATGTTTTTTAACTAAATAAATATTAAATGCATAAATAATTGGGCCTTTCAAAATAGTTCTTTTGTCAATCTTGTCTCTATAGGAGCTTTAGTGCATGTTTAAAAGTGTTCATAAATGATTTAAATTATAAATAAAAATGAGGGAAGAATAAGTAAGTAATATTTGTAAATCATTCAAAAATTTTGAATAAAAATTAATTTGAGTATTTTAAAACAATTTATAAACGTGAACCAATCATAGTCTAACTTTTAACAATACAATAAAGATTTTTCTTGTTAGTTAAGGGTTCTGCTACAGGAACATAGGGGCTGACCGCCTCCTGATCGAACCCCACAAATGGAGGGAAGGGGGGGCGAGGTGGGAAGGTCCCATATTTTTTTAATTTTTTTTTGCCGCCCCCACCCCCATTTGTGGGGCTTCTGTCAGGGAGGCGGGCCGCCTCCTTGTTACAGAAGCTTTGTTCATTAATTAATTATTAAAGTCATAAGCAGGCCAGGAAGGAGTAGGGAAAATTGCATTTATTGGTCCTCAACATATCGTCCTTAACCTTTAAAAAGAAACAAAGGTATCCTTCACTTTTTATTATAGTTACACAATTTGTCTCTTGCAACTATAATTGTCAAAGTTCAAATTCTAATGCATGTCAAACTTTATGCTGTAAAAGTATTGTATCATAACTTAAATCGATGTCCAAAAAGTTTTAAGCGATAAGACAAGAAAATTTGAGGGCACTAAAAAAACATTGAACGATTTTTGTGTTTTAGTGATTGATCAACTATATATACAATAAAAATGTTGGAGACCAATTTATTTCTTTTTAAGTTAAAATCAATTTGCAATTTTCCAAGGACTCCTTTGCTTTTGACTTTTTTTAAAATAATGTTATCTAGTATTAATTGTGTCGAACATCAGTCTATATGTCAATATATCATACGTTTTGTAAAATATATCATAAACCATTGTATTGAATCGAACTTGTAATTTAATATCACAGGTATTGTCAAGTAGACTGATGTTAAAAATTAGTATTTCTAAACAATATTATTATTATTTTCTTTTTGTTTATTTGCTATTCAACAAGAAAAAAGAAATCATTCATGTGGTTTTTAAAGTCTGATAGATTCATAATTGACAATGTTTTGAAAACTTTGATTGACATTTGACATTACTTAGGGCTAACTGCAAATTTTTGAAGACTCCCATGCACTACTCTTTTGTCCTTACCATCACACAAAACTCTGATGAATCCAACAGCCGAAAAAAGTGAGAACAAGTCACCCAGAGACAAAACCTACCATTGTTTTGCATGCATTTACATGCATACATCCAGTACTGAGTGCAAAATGGTCCCCTTTATCCCCTCACCCAACCCAACCCACCCCAAATCTAGCCCGTTCTAAACCCTTAATGCTTCCCACTTTAACTACACTTTCTATTCCAACCAAAAATTCCCCCACCTACGGCGTGTTTGACATGGAAGGATAGACGATACTCAACATTTTTAAAGAGGAAAAATAATCTAAATATTGTTCATTACTGTCTAGACTCGAAAGTGTTGCATGATAAATGTGCATTAGTAAAAACCATCTACTAGTAATATATGCAAGTATGATTTCTTATGATTACTAATCACAATGGATCTATGATGAAAGGAAATCATCGAGTACTTCTAATTCCATTATTCCAACCATAATTTTCTAACTCCTTATGTTTGATAAGAAAGATTGAATCATTCTAGACAATAGACAACATGTATTGATTATGAAACGTGCAACGGTCTACTAAGATTTTCCATTTATTTTAAGCATAAAGGATCTTTCTTTGATAAAAGGAAATCAAGAAGTCCTATCTAGAGTTTCAGCTACCTTTCCCTTTCTCTGATCTTATTATTGACATAATCATAATTACTTTCTTGAACATTGAGAAATGTGCTCTTAACTTTTAGCTGCAACTGCACAGGACACCCTTGACTTATATCTTCTGCTAGACTGCTACCCTATGCCATTCTACGCTTCCTTTACTACCTTTGCTTTGCTATAAACACTAGCAAGAAAAGGCCCTCAGTTTGTAATCTCTCGTTCCTTCATGCAAATAACTCCATTTCAAATCAAAGGGTTTGATGAAAAGAAAACTGTTTAGGCTTAACCCAGTTCTTTAAACTTTCTTGGATTCACTATCTGTACTTGAAATCTTGTTATTTTTCTTGGGTTCAAGTACTTACTTTTGGCTCAGTAAAATCATCATGGAGGAGTTCAAATTTTGGTGTGTTTTTATCTTTGTTATATACACAATAAATTTGGGTGTTATGTGCAAGGGGGAAGATGAAAATGGAGTGGCTTCAATGAAGAGAACAGAGCAAGAAGCTTTGTATTCTGCTATTCAAGGTTTTGTGGGTAAATGGTGGAATGGTTCAGATCTTTATCCAGATCCTTGTGGTTGGACTCCCATACAGGTAAACATTGTTAAGCCCTTTTCTGTACTTTCAAGATTCTTGGTGTAAAAATGTAGATATTTACTTTTGTAGTTCTGTCAAATCTTAATATCAGAGAAAATACATTAAACAAAAAGTTACTCGATATCTACCTTACCAGTGTCATAAACACAAGAACTTCAGGTTTTTTTATTGCTCTTTCAGTACTTAGACTGGTTATAGCGTAAGCAGCAAATTATTTCATCGTTTGTTTTCTTATGGAATGTTCATTTTAGATAGTACCTCATTTCGCTGAGATTCTGCTGCCTATTTCTAGCTTTGGGATTTATGAAACACTGTGTCAAAACTGAACTGCAATTAGATGTACTCAATTGGTTATTACTTATTGACATTCTTACATTATTAATTTTTTTTTTTTTTGTACTATTCTCAACCTTTTCTTTTCTTTTCTTTTCTTTTCTTTGTTCCTAATGTCTGTCAAAACTCTGATAGTTGATATCATCTTGTGTTAATTGGTACTCTTAAACTGAGTGTTGGTGGGCAAGTTATATGTGGGAGTCGTAATTAAGTTTCCTGATTTTAATCTGCTATCCTGATTCTTTCCACAGGGTGTTGGCTGTGACCTTTTTGATGGCTTTTGGTATGTCACAGACTTGAGCATTGGACCTGTTCATGATAATTCCCTTAGTTGTGCCCAAAATGTTGAGTTTAGGCCCCAGTTATTTGAATTAAGGCACCTGAAATCACTCTCATTCTTCAATTGCTTTGTCTCACCCCACCATTATCCCGTTGCAATTCCTACTGAAAATTGGCAAGGTTTCGCTGGCAGTTTAGAGTCACTAGAGTTTCGGTCCAATCCCTGCCTAATTGGACAAATTCCATACACTTTTGGGTACCTCAGAAATCTCCGGTCGTTAGTGCTAGTGGAAAATGGATTGACTGGTGAATTACCGGCGTTTTTTGGGAACTTAATCAACTTGAGGCGGTTAAATCTTGCTGGAAATTCATTTTCTGGCAGCCTTCCAGATAATTTTGGAGAGCTAAATCAGCTTCTGATTCTTGACATGAGTAGGAATTTATTTTCTGGTCTCTTGCCTTCAACATTTGGTGGGTTGACTTCTTTACTGAAGCTTGACTTAAGCAACAATCAATTGGAAGGAAAAATCCCCCAAGAGATTGGAAAATTGAAGAATCTAACACTCTTGGACCTAAGTAACAACAAATTTTCAGGTGGGTTGACCACATTATTTCAAGAAATGAGTTCCTTGGAACAATTAGTCCTATCCAACAATCCAACGGGTGGTAACCTTACGAACCTTGCGTGGCATAATCTGATATGCCTAACTGTATTAGACCTATCGAATACGAGCTTGACAGGTGGGATTCCGGACTCGATTTCAAAGTTGAAGAGGCTGAGATTTTTGGGACTCAATGATAACATGCTCACAGGAAAAATCTCCACAAAGATCGAAACTTTGCCTAATATTAGTGCAATGCACATCTATGGAAACAATCTGACGGGTGAACTTAAATTCTCTGAAGGGTTCTATGGGAAATTGGGGAGGCGTTTTGGGGCATGGGACAATCCAAATCTCTGCTACCCATCAGGTTTGATATCAAGAATTAATGTACCATTTGGGGTAAAAAAATGTCAGCAAGAAGTAACACGAGAAACTGGTCTGGATACAAGTTCCAGGTTGAATAATAATAGGATTTGGAATCCAGAATCCAATCCCACGGTTTCTTTGGGATTCTCAATCTTTCGTATTGATAGATTTAGGTACATCTTTGTGTTTATAGTTTTTTTTGGTCATTTACTTTTCGACATAGGTTTTGCTTGAGGTAGCAATACAGCATTTGTAATGTAGAAGAAAGTCTAACCCTTAATTCACTTAACAAGAATTTATCCTTTTTCTATCCTTTTGATACTTTGTATATTGTCGTGCCATCTAAAATTAGAAGCGTCAAAATGGGACGGACGACTGCGGCTCTAGTATCTCAACATATCCGCTTTGAGAATGGCTATTGAGGTTGCCTTTGGGCATGACCCATCATGAGCTGTCCCTGGCACAACACATGATACATACGTTATAATTGAATTCCTATTTGACAATCGCTATTTAAAAACTCATTTTCTATATATTCATTTTCAATCATACAATCACACAATAAAATATTATGCACTTAGACTCGAACTCTTCCATGCTTTTTAATTGTACATCTTTCAAAAATTTACTATTCAAAATTTTATTTTTGGATTTTAAATGTCATTAAACAGGGGCTTAATAAAGTAAAGAACCAACTAGAATTAATTTTAGAAAAATTTAGGGTTGAGCTCTCCAACCATTCAATTAGGGGGTTATATGTCCTCAATGTTTAAAAATGAGATTTTAAGTCCCATAATTTATCTAAATACGTGAATTTAGGTCCAAACATGACAGAAAGAGTCAATGTATATGTTGAGACTTTCACTTGAATCAAAGGTTGAGGGCAAATTCATCGAGGTAGTTAACATTTTTCTCCCATTCAATTGATTGTTGCATGGGATTTTAGAGATAATTTTTGTAACCGTATTTACTCTTTGTTTGATTCCCATTTTTTTTTAAAATGAGAATGAAAAATATAATCGTTACGAAACCCACACAAGAATTAGAAAATCAAATATGGTGATTCGATGCGATGGATAACGGTTATATTTTTTATTTTTGTGGTCAAATAATGAGAATCAAACGGGGACTTAGATAGCTTGATGTCTCAAAATCTCACTCTTGAAGATTTAGAAACCGTGACCATGAAAAATTTCAAAGAATTCAATCCTAATTTTCACTTTAATTCAATGGCAAGTTGAATATTTTTTTCCAAGAAGGTAGTAGGCTTGTAGCTTTAAGCTTTTGATCCTATGCAAGGGCATGGATGAATTTTTCTTACCCATACCACCTTTCATTTCAACATGAACATGACTATGTAATGGTCGCTCTGCTCCAGCTTTTTCTGCTGGCAATGGTAGGCATGATTTTAATGCACTGAAAGTAAAGGGTATTTTTTCCAACAAAGGTCGTAGGCTAGGAGCTTTAGGGTTTTGATATAGTCTTTCTGCCCCAACTTTTTCTGCTGGCAATGGCAGCCATGATTTTAATGCACGGGAAGAAAAGGGCAAAGGCAATAGGCTAATAGCCTCTAGTTTTTTCTTTCCCCTTCTTCCTTTAAGCAATAGCCTCTAGTTTTTCCTTTCTTCTTCTTCCTTTAAGCAATATGTATGGGTAAACATAGACCTGTAGCCTGTACACAAAAATAAGTACAATTGCAGTGTGGTCCTTCGTACATAAAGAAGATGGTGACGGGGAAACAGAAAGTGAAGGACCATTTGAATTAAAAACTTGGCAATCTTTTTTTCTGGTTTCATCTGGTTTTTCTCTGGGTAAAAAGGGGTTCTGGTTTTAGTTTTAGTTCTGGTTCTCATTTTGGATATAGTTTAACCAACTGTGGCAAAGTGTACACCAAAATCTATGGTTTAAACTTTACCACATGGCAAAGTGTGTTTTGACATTGAAAAAAATGGTTTTCCATCCAAATAGTATTTTACTCGAAGACAAATGTCAACAATGTTGTTAACTTTGAAATGTACAAATGGCAATCTCCTAGTTTGATTTTTGCTTTTACACCAATGAACAGAGTTATTAGTTAAATATTTCAACTTTTTTTTTTTTTTTTTTTTTTTTTTTTGGTCCGGGCT